GCATAAGAAACCTTTCTTCATAAGGTTATTAGGGTGATTAAGTGAGATAATGTAATTATATCTTATAAATATGTTTTTATCTTTCCCTTTTCTTCGTTCTCATTGTCCTTGCCTGTCCTTCCTGTATTAACCCCACCCAGAGTGGTCTCTCCACAAGCAATAAGAATAGATCTTTGTCAAAGATGAATCAGATCGTGCTACTTCTCCCTCTTCTACTTTAAAACCTTTTGTGATTTCTTATTTCTTAAGTATAAAATTCACAGTTTTTAACAGAGTTTACGAAAGTCTGTAAGATTTTGCTCCATGTAATTCTGTTTTTACTGTTTAGTCACTAAATCGTGTCTGAGTCTTTGTGTCCCCATGGACTGTAGCCTGCCAGGCTCCTCTGTCCATGGAATTTCCCAGGGAAGAATACTGGAGTGGTGGCCATTCTCTTTTCCAGGGGATCTTCCCAACCCAGGGATGGGACCTATGTCTCCTGGTGTGGCAGGCAGATTATCACTGAGCTACTTAGGAAGCCCATGTCATTTCTACATCCCTCTGAACTTTCTTCTATCTAACCACTTTGAGCTTCTTAGTTTCACTGCTTGTGTAATACATTGCCTTTTCTTGGAAAGATGAAAGGTTTAAGGAATAACATATTTAAGTTGGAGGGAAGCAGCCAAAATCAGGACCTCAGTTGTAGCCATGTCCAGCTTTAGATGTCTATTCGCCTTCCAAGTGGAGATATCAAGTAGGCCACTGTATGTACACAGTTCGACTTTGGGTGAGAGGCCTGTTTGGAGATATAAATGGAGCTGGCACAAAAAGGGTATTTTAAAGTCATGGGATGGAAAGTGTTCACCAAGGCCAGAGTCCTCTGCCTTTAGTCCATTCACTTTTTTCTTTTCTTTTTTTAAGTCTCTGAGAATCTACTTATAAGTCAGGATTGAGCTTCTGCATCCTTTGCCCAGTGAAGACTTGCTCTGCTGTTTCATGTATGGTCATTGTACCACACTCTTCATATAGCATCTGACATGTTCTGTTGGAAGTGCTCTTTTTTAAAATAGGTTTTCTTTTGCAACTAGACCAGAATTTTTTTTTTATGGAGTCAGCACCATATCTTATTTTCCTTTGTAACTCTGGTATAGCAGATGCTTAATAAGCATATCTTAAATAAATGATTACAAAGTGACTTAAAATATGTTCAAGTGATCAAGTCTAGCCTGTTGGGGCTAAGGAATGACTGCCTACACTGAGTCTGCCTGCTATGCTTAAGGGAATTGCCTGTAAATCATGTGCTCTGTATTGAGGCAGAGTAAAAATTGAGTACAATAAGTAGTATTTAAGTTTTTAAGATTTCTTTGATATCTATATCTTATAATAAAAACCACACTGAAGATTTGAGAACTTCAAATATTTCTATTTTGCATTAAATGCAGCTGGACAGGAAACCATTTAATTCAATGCATGTTCTTTTCATTTGTTTTTAAAGCTATTATTTGTTTTTATTGTATTAGTGAAAGAGAATATTTATTTTTTATTTTTTTGAGTATTTCAAATACTTTCAGATTGTTAATTTTATAGCTTGGCCTTGTCAGAAGAAAAATTAGATGAAAGCTACTCAACCTTTAAGTAGCTGATTCAAGTGAATTGTACATTCTCTTCAATCTTTTTCTTTGGGGATGTACTCATATTTTCATTGATTTGTAAGAGTTCTTTACATATTAGATGAAATATATGAACCATTTTTCGTAGGTCAAAAACAGTGAATATCCACAACTTCATACAGTTCAACTTAAATCATATATTTTATGTTAGTTGCCAAGGTTTTTCCCAGTTTGTTTGTCTCTTGTTCTTTTTACTATGATGTATTTTTAAAGCATATAACAAGTTTAAAACCTTTTTGTGGTTTAATTTAGAGATCCTTTGCTTTGTAGTTTCCTCTGTTGCTTTCTCACAGGAAAGTTCTTTCCATTTCGAGGGCAGATAAATATTTTTGTAGTTTCATATTTTTACATTTAACTTTTAAAATCCATCTGGAATTTTGTTTGAATGTATTGTTAGGGCCAGGATCTGTTTACTGAATGATGAAACAATTACTTTCAGATTCCTGAGCTAGCTCTATTGTTTAATTTCATGCTCCATTGCTAAAATCACAAAATTATTGTGTCCTAGTAATATAACATCTTTGACCTTGAGTCCTCATAAAATACATTATTCTGGTTCCTTGGTTTTGCTGATGTATTTCAAGGACCAGTAATAATCCTGAGACTTAATTTGGCAGTGTTAACTCTACTTTAAATGTGTAAGTAATGGGGTACACAATACTTCATTTACTTGATGACATCTTCCAGCATAAAATTCTGTCACTCACAAAACTTTACACATTGTCACATGGACAATAAATATTGTGTAAGAATATATTTTTTAAGTAGAAAGATTAATCAAGATGTTTAAAAATCTTATTTTTCTATTTAAATTGGACTTAATACTTAAGTTGGGCTTAACTTTAGAAATGATATACATGTATATTAAAAATTTTCCTTGGTGTTTAAGATAATGAGTGATGATATTACTTATTTATTAAGTAGTACTATAGGCCTGTGTCAAACTGCCTGTCCCATCATAGACAGAAATTTCATTGATTTATTCTAAAGTTTTTAGAGCTTGTATTAGTGTTCCTATGGAATAAAACATGCGATGTTAAATGAATTCAGCTATTCTAAATTTTTGTTATTGTATGTAATGGCTCTAATGCCATTGATAAGAAAAAAGTAAATTGCTTAAGTTTTATAATTTAGCGTGAAGACATTCTGGAGACCGTTGGTAAGCTCTTTCAGTAAGGAAAGATCCTGGCTCCTCTCTTTTCCTTTTGAACACCTCAAAACATCAGTAAAGAATTTTTTCTTTTTGAGACACTGAAGAAAATATGTGTATATACCACTATCAAACTCTGTCTGAACTCAGAAACTTAATAGGTTCAGATAAATTTTTAGATAAATCCCTGGGTTTAAATTATTGCTTTTTGCCATCTAAAACAGTGGGATGTAACTGATTCTCTAATAAGCTATCCAGTTCAAAGACCAAATAAATTTGGATAGCAAGATATACTTATATTGGCTCATGCTAGGTTTCCTTTATAATGGACCACTCAAAGGGTGAAGATGAAAAGGATATAACCCTTCTGGATTCAAAGAGTTGATGATTACCACATTATCTGAGAACCTCTGCCTTTTAGTCTGCTAGTGTTTCCTTAGGACTTACTGTGTTCCCAGACTTTAGTAGGTCTGAGTAGAATGGGGAACAGACCAGCTCAATTGGGACAGAGGTTTGCCCTCTTGAAATGAGTTTGTCCGAGCTGGAAGTTGAGATTTCTGAGGCCACTAGGTGACTTCAGTTGCCTGAAAAGGTCAGGTCCAGAGGCTCTGTAGGGGTGAAAACATTTTATTTTAGGAAAATAATTTTATTTGGGAGTATTTATTTTCTGAGCTAGATTGGCAGAACAAGTTTGTTCGACTTAAAGACCTTTGAGGATCACCTGCTTCACCTTCTCATTTCAGAAATAAGGGCATTTAGGAAGACTTCACCAAGTTGACTCAGCTATGTTGGGCAGAGTTAGAGCTAGAACCTGAATATCCTTTTAGCTTTTAGCTAGTTTTTTAATCTGTTGAATCAGTGATCCCAATCTATTTTTTATTATTATGAAGTCATAGTACAGAATTATGTATAAGCCCTGGAGAGAGATTGTGTAAGAATATTATGTTTAAAACAGATGGTGAAGTTGCTGGTGGCCACCTTATGGGATGGGTTGAGCAATGATAGTGTTTACTCTTAGTCAAGCTGAACTTTTAGATTAATGAGCTACATTTTGTCATGACCAAAAGAATTTAAAAATTCTTATTTGTTCTGAATGAGTTCTGCTGCTACTGCTGCTAAGTCGCTTCAGTTGTGTCTGACTCTGTGCGACCCCATAGACAGCAGCCCATCAGGCTCCTCTGTCCCTGGGATTCTCCAGGCAAGAACACTGGAGTGGGTTGCCATTTCCTTCTCCAATGCATGAAAGTGAAGTGAAAGTTAAGTCGCTCAGTTGTGTCCGACTCTTCGAGACCCCATGAACTGTAGCCTACCAGGCTCCTCCGTCCATGGGATTTTCCAGGCAAGAGGACTGGAGTGGGTTGCCATTTCCTTCTCCATTTCTTTGGAGACGGAATGAGTCCTAAACCTTTATATATCCTAACTCCTTTTCTTCAGATGAATAGCAACATATTTTTTTTTCAAGTTATTGTATCTCTCCAGTTTTCTGTTGGTTTTGATTAATATTTAACCTTTATAACAGGGTTGGAAAACTTTTGTAAAAATCAAAGGCCAGTAGAAAACACAACAAACAAAGTCATTATATATCAGTTCAAAATGACTCATGACAATATTGAGTTTCTTTCCCTCTGGGCAGGGTCGGGAGGAAGCAAATGGTATAATTTCATCTACTTCTATAGTAAGTTCAGGAAAACATACAACTTTTATTTTTAAACATTTATGCTTAAGTTATCTATAATTTATATATTATGGCTATTTCTAGAGAATAACAGAGATAAGGGAGGCTTTAAGAAAGACAAAAAGAGTGAAAGGGTAGGGAGGAAAAGAGATAATCAGGGTGATAAGAGTGATGGGGAAAGAGCTAGTAAGAGAGAAAGGGAGACTTCTATCTAAACGTGAAGGGGGAAAAAAAAAAGTGAAGGGAGAGAGAACAGACCAGAGAGCTCCTTGAGTAGGAGTGCCTGTGAAGGAAGCCGTGGTGAGTGGACCTGGGGAGGGAGGGGGAGCATATGTCCCAAGGGCAGAGGGAAGCAAAAGGAAAAGAGAAGGAAAAGAAAAGGGCCCACATTTCTTTTCATGGCCTCCTCCATTTTCTTAGTGGTATGCTGAAGCTGAATTGAATGAAAGTGTAGTTGGTCAAGTCTACATCCATTAAACGTATTTTAATTATGTCTCATTTTCTCTTCCTTTTTTTTTTTTTCAAGTGATTTAAAGGGAGTGATAGTCACTCTGAGTGATGAAGGTCACTTGCAGTGTTCATACCTGGGGACAGATCCTTCTTTGTTCCAAGCTCCAAAAGTTGAATCTAGAGAACTAAACTATGATGAACTTGATAAGGAGTTGAAAGAACTTCAGAAAGTCATCAAAAATGTTAACAAATCACAAGGTATCTCATTTTCAGCTTTCTATTATAATATTCATTGTGAAATTTATATTATTTTGTATATGGATAGTATTTTATACGTGTTGATTTTCTCCCCCAGGCTTAATTAAAGTCATTTTTGTAAAAACAGCACTGCTCTTTAACATACTAGTCTTTGTGCTTAATTTGTATATTATAGCTTCTGAAAAATATGTCCTATTTAAGATAATACTTTTGTTAGTGTGTTTCACAGACAGTGCTATCTAGGTTTTTTCTTTAAACTCTAAGAAAGAACATATATTTCTTCAGGTAGTGATTTTAGGCCTTTAGAAGAACATTAAAGTTTAGAGTGATCATTTATTAACTTCTAATATCCCTGAAAAAATGTTAGTTGCTTCTTTTAAAGGAAACCAGAGCAGTGCATGAGTTACCACTTTTTTACTAAAAATGTAGTCATTTGCAACCTAGTGAGATAATTTATGTTTGTAGTTAATTAGCCATCCAAATGGAGTGTAGCTTGTGGTATGCTGATTTCTAGTGACTCAGAGGCTGATGATATTTTCAGTTCCTGAGTTTTGTATAACTCAATATTATCTTACTTTGGGATTCACAAGGGTATAATTTTATTATAAATTAAAAGGAGAAACAAAACACCAATCCTGAAGTTTGAGTTGGACATGTGAAAAGCATTACTTTAAGTTCCCTTCTCAGGGTCAGGTAAAAGTATTTTTTTAATGAGAAAAAATATGGACTATTTTCACATAAAAGAAATGTTAAAACAAGTAGAAATAATAAAAGAAGCAGAGCATCAAAAGCCAACCAAAACAACAGAGCCAATCTTAATCCTGGTCCAATCACTTTCCTAGAGTTAGGTATTTTTGAGTCTATGTTACCAAGAGAGATTCAGAGGAATTTATTTAATGTATTTCAAAATGTGAATATTAAAATAAAATTGTTTTGGTTTTAACACTTTCTCTTAGAAAGTTTTGAAAGTAAACAAGTGAAACTTGGGTCTTTTAAGTACCTCCAAATATTTAAAAACCCATTTGTTGTCAGCATCCTCTGGTCAAATATAGTTAAAATTGGGTGTGTCATATTGCAATATACACGTTTCCCATTTTTGATACTAGTGTTTTTGAATTAATGGAATATAAGTCTCATTTTGTCATTTAAAAATATGATTGGGAAGAGTGGCATATATATGTGTGTGTGTGTGTGTGCGCGTGTGTGTGTGTATGAGAATATATATACATATATACATATATATGAGAAACGTGAAATTTCCAGAGTTCATTAAATTTAATGTAACTTTTCACTCCAAGTTTTGTGTCTTGAGATTGTGGCATTTCTATAAACAATGTGCTAATGATATTTTGATTAACACTTGATTATGTAAAACATTTCTCAGAAAAATCCCTTATAGCTAAGTTACTTTTTGGTGGCCAAAATGGTGCCCTTGAGTACTCCAGTCTTTTCACCCAGGGATAGGCTGTTTTATTTGTCATTACCCTGATTCTTCTTTGTATATTGAAGTAATTGCTAATTAAGCTAGGGATGAACCCACAGACTTGAGTGCAAAGTTTATTATTTACATAATCTCAAAGTTAATATTTGAAGTTCTCTGTCCCTTCTTTGCCACCATCATTTGACTTTATTCCTAAAAATGAAAGAGACTCTTTTTTTTAAAAAAAGGAGAGACTTTTAACATAGTTTATTTCTAGAATATGGAAAAAATTTACTGTTTTTTGCACTTATAAAATTGTGGTGTATTTGTTCATTAAAATAGCTATAATTATATAAAAGCACCAGATCATTTCACTATAGAAGATTATGAGAAGTTAAAACTCCAAACTTTTTGATGACCTCATTATTCATTTAAATGCCACCTATTTTAGTAGAGTGACTTTAACTTGCAAAAAAAATGTTCTTTTCAGTCTTGTGGGTTATGTTCAGCAGTTAAAGTTTTTTTTTATTTCTTCAAAGCAAGAATTGCAGCAAAATATAAAGCCAATTTAAAGAGTACATTTTGTTGTACACATGGTGTATATTATCTACCATAATAAAAGTGTTTTTGAAGCTGATTTTATGTGTGTAAGTTATATGAGGAGTGTATGTTATAAGCATGAAATAATATCAATAGTAATAATTTCTGTATGGCTTATGGATTTTGAAGCTTTTCATATTCAACTCATTAGTGAGAATCCTGCCTTGCATTTCTGTTACCAGTAGTCAACAACATCTGTCAGTAGACACTTTCAAAAATAGAGTTTCTTTGTGAACTCTATTTATTTAGATAGTTGATATATTCTTTTCTTGGGATAAATATGAAGGAATAAGTACAGTGTTGACATAGACTCCCACACAGCATGTCTTCAGGAAGGAAAAGAGAGCAGTAAGATACAGGTGTATAAATGAAAGTCTGCACCCATTTGAAATAGGTCTAGGATAACTTAAGGTGCTTCTACCATTGAGTGGTAGAAACATTCGTGCTTGGTAACCTTGTTGGAAATTGTGCTGTTCAGACTTATGTCTGGCTGTCTATAACAAAAATGCTCAAATAAGGTGGCTTAAACAAGGCAGAGCTTTACTTCTTTTTCATGGAAAAGGAGTCCAGTAATGAGCAGTCCAGGGTTGGTTTGGCAGTTCCACTGTTGTGAGGGACTTTTGAGTCCTTCTCACCTGGGTTTTCTGTTGGTTCAGGATGGCTTCTGGAACTCCTGCCTCACATCTGCATCTGAGTCAGCCCACTTAAGGGTCTTTCCTGAAAGCCACACCCTGAACAACTTCTGCTCATATCTCACTGGCCACTCCAAGCTGCAAAAGAGGCTGGGAAATTTAGCATTTTGGTTGAACACTTTGGTTGAGCACAGGATTAGGCGCCAAGCTTAGGATAAAATTGGACTCTTTTTTAGTAAGAAGAACCAAAGATTCATTACTGAGTGGGCAGTGAGCAATCTTTTGTGTTCTAAGTTGTGGAAATTCCTATTCTAAATATTGCTGTTTTGGTGAGAATGTCTGGTGGCGGTTACAGCCACCACCAGTTCTTCTCTTTGTGAGACAGTGGATTCATGTGACATTATCCAAATGCTTTCTATATTTTCAGTCAGCCATCCTCAGGGTTTGGGGGATGTTCACTCTCAGGGTCACAGGGTTATTTCAGCAGTTCCAGGCAATATGTACAAATATGATTTCCAGGGAAGAAGACAGATATTTCTCCCAAGTCTCCCCATTTATTAGGGAGGAATAACTTTCCCAGAACCACATACCAGCACCCCAGCTCCCACCAGTTCTCACCTCACATCTGCCAGGATTAGGCTCCATGCTCAGGCCTGAAATAACAAAAAGTCAGGGGAATGAAGTCACCATCTTGGATTTGACCGGTCCAGTGATTAAGGTGGAAGTGAAGTAGGGGAATTCGATGGAAGTGAATCAGCAGAATTAGGGGTCTACCACAAAGGAGGAGAAGAAGGGAAGAATGGATGTTAGGGGGGCAGCCAATAATCTGCACATATATATGTATTATTATGTATTAAGTGAAAGTCACTCAGTTGTGTCTGACTCTGCAACCCCATGAACTGCACAGTCCATGGAATTCTTCAAGCCCAGAATACTAAAATGCTGGAGTGGGCAGCTGTTCCCTTCTCCAAGAGATCTTCCCAACCCAGGGATCCAACTCAGGTCTCCCACATTCCAGGTGGATTCTTTACCAGCTGAGCCCCCAGAGAAGCCCTATGTATGTATATATATACATATGCATGTGTATATGTATTATTTATGTTTCTTATTTATTTAGGGTCTCTATGGCTTGTTCATAATATCTCATTATGTACTATAAATGTTTTTGAAATTATGAAATTTTAAGTTGAAAATAAAATGAATATGGTAAAAACAATTCAAATAGTACTGAAAGCATAAAACCCAGGTCTTAGTTCTACTGGAATGTCTAAATGTAACCTTTATTAATAGTTTTGTGTATTCTGTAAGAAAGTTTTCTGTTTATATAATTGTTTTTACACAAATATGTGTGTTAGAGACACTGTACTTCATCTTGCTTTTTTAGATCATTAGCATATCTTGGAGTTCTTTCCTTCTCGGTATATAAAGATGGATAGCACTCTTACTTAACAGTTTTGGATTTTGGACCATTGCACAGTATTGATAATATCATAACATAGTTAACTATTTCCCTATTAATAGAAATATAATATAGATTTAGGCTGTTTTGTTTTTGATAATTACCAGCAACAGAGTGACCCCTTGGACATGAGTATTGGGTAAATGTTTGAAAATAGAATTGTTAGGTCACAGGGTATGTGAATTTTACATTTTTTTGGTGAATTTTACATTTTGATTTGTTGTTGTTGTTCTGTTGCTAACCTGTGTCCAACTCTCTGCAACCCCACAGACTGCAGCATGCCAAGCTTCCCTGTCCTTCACTATCTTGCAAAGTTTGCTGAAACTCATGTTCATTGAGTTGATGGTGCTATCCAACCATCTCATTCACCCACTTTCCCTCCTGCCTTCAATCTTTCCCAGCATCAGGGTCTTTTCCAATGAGTCGTCTCTTTGTATCAGGTGGCCAAAGTATTGGAGCTTCAGTTTTGACATCAGTCCTTCCAATGAATATTCAGGGTTGATTTCTTTTAGTATGGACTAGTTTGATCTCCTTTCTGTCCAAGGGACTCTCCAGAGTCTTCTCCAGCACCATAATTCAAAAATAGCAATTCTTTGGCACTCAGCCTTCTTTATGGTCCCAACTGTCACCTCCATATATGACTGTTGGAAAAACTGTAACTTTGAGTATATGGACCTTTGTTGGCAAAGTGATGTCTCTGCTTTTTAATATCCTGCCTAGGTTTGTCATAGCTATTCTTCCAAGGAACAAGCTTCTTTTAATTTCATGACTGTAGTCACCGTAGTCACCGTCCACAGTGATTTTGGAGCCCAAGAAAATAAAATCTGTCTTGTTTCCATTGTTTCCCCGTCTATTTGCCGTGTGTGTGTGTGTGTGTGTGTGTGTGTTAGTCGCTTAGCCGTGTCCGACTCTTTGTGACCCTGTAGACTGTAGCCAGTCAGGCTCCTCTGTCCATGGAGTTCTCCAGGCAGGAATACTGGAGTGGGTTGCCATTTCCTCACAGAGTGATGGCAAACAATCTTAAGATGTCACCATCTTAGTTTTTTGAATGTTGAGTTTTAAACGAGTTTTTCCACTCTTCCTCTTTCACCTTCATCAACAGGCTCTTTAGTTCCTCTTTGCGCTCTGCCATTAGGGGGGTATCATCTGCATATCTGAGGTTGTTAATATTTCTCCTGGCAGTTATAGCCCATTTACCCTCTTGGGTTATACTCTTTGGGCTTCTAACAGTAGCTAAGGAGAGGGAATTGAAATTCCTAACATAGGTCAGTCAGTGGGTCACATCTTAGCTCATATCTTTGGGGAAAAAAGACAGTTTTTCTTTACAGTAATGTAGAGGAGAAAGCTTTTCATCCTGTAATGCATCATTTTTTTTTTCAACTTGTAAATACATTTATGGGATTGTCTTTTGATATAAGGTACAGATAAACCTTAAAATGACTTTATATAGAAATTTTTACTTTATGATTAAATATCTTTTTTTTTTCTCTTAAAATTACAGGTGTTTGGCCCCTGACTGAGAGAGAAGATGACCTGAAAGTCTCTGCCGTGGTTTCTCCTAACTTTGATTCAGTATCTGTAGGTGTATTTGCAGACTTTAAGAGGGTTTGTGATAGTGGTGGACTCTGATATATCGGAATCAGATTGTATCGGTTTAAAATCTGGGCCTCCAAATAGAAACTTCAGGGAAGATAACAAGTTTTCGGCCTTGTTACTTTCTAGAAAAAAACATTTCTAGCATCTCAGTGTAATAACAAGTTTCTTAGGCAGGATTTCTATCTTGAAAAAGGGGAAGGGAGGGGGATTGTCAAAGAGGTTCCCACCATTACTCTGAATCTCCCTACTTTATTTTATTTTTTCAAACTTTTTCAGTACTGGAGTATTGAGACAATCCTACTCCAGATGAATAATACCGAGACCACTACATTTTTGTTGAATGTTCAATGAGATAATGTTTATGAAAGGCATGACTCAGAGCTTGATGATTTATAGTCTTTAATATATTACAGTGGCTGTGGTGGGGGGGTAGTTTATGAATAAAGAGTTGGGCCAGGAATTATTTTTTCTCTCATTTCTATTTGTGTGACCTCAGAGCAAGGTATTTAATTTTTTTGTCTCAATTTTCTTATCTGTAAAGTGGTAATAGTAGTAGAATCTACTTTGTTGAATTATAATAATTAACTAACAATCATTATAATAGTATTCATGATCATCAACCCCACCACAGCCGTCACCATTCCAGTTGCCTTGTGTGTGCTCAGTTGCTGAGCCATGTCTGACTCTTTGTAACCCTGTGGACTGTAACCTGCAAGACACCTCTGTCCATGGAATTTTCCAGACAAGAATACTGGAGTGGGTTGCCATTTCCTTCTCCATGGGATCTTTCCTACTCAGGGTTCAAACCAATGTCTTTTGCATCTCCTGCATTGGCAGGCAGATTCTTTACCACTGCGCCACCTAGGAAAATTGATTGCCATTTCCTTAATGCCAGTTGCAAAATGGGTGTTCAGTATATATTTGCTCTATAAATGAATAGTAAAGCTGAAAAACCAGAAAGGGGGACTGTCCCCGGTTACATTACCTTATCTGTTTGTTTAGTCTTCTTTAAGCACTTGTTAGATTATGGTTGGTTTTCTCTCACTGCCTGCAGTTGGGCCGAAATCTGTCTAGTTTATCTATGTCTGTACCAAGTTGATCAATTTAGGCAAGTGATCAAATTCACTCGTTTTACTGTATATGAGGTCTGTGTTATATAACTTTGCTTAGGAAATGGCTTTGCTATTTAGGTATCAGGACACAACATAGTATGTAATTCCATAGCTTTTTAAAGAATAATCTTAGTACAAACAGCCAACCCAAGTTGTGATAAAAATTGCATTAACATTGCCTTAGTATAGTAAGTTGGATATTCTTAAAAAAAAAAAAAAAAAGTAGGACTATATATGAAAGAGACATTCACCCAGTTGAGTCACATAGTAGAGGTACTGTTCTATAAACTTTGGATATTCAGCACACCATTTCTCACTCTACCTGAAGGGTGTAGTCTGAGTGGAACGTTTCTGCTTAGTTAGCTGACAAATGTACACACATTTTCTTGCCTTGGAAATGATTCTTTTTTTCCTTTGGGCAACTTCTATAATTTTTTTCTAGGTTTTTCTCTTAGACATAGGCTTTTTGAAATGAGGAATTCCCTTTCTGTTCTTCAGCAACTTTTGATCTTTGTGAGTAAAGGCTTTATGTAATAGCACTGTATTTTAATATGTATTTCCCTATTGGTAACCTGAAGTGCTTTTTCTTCTTAACTAGGTATCTCTTTCCAGCTCCATTTCCCCCATCTCACGATTTTTTTCCTTCTCAAGAAAGGAAAGGATTCTTGAGAGTATCATATTCATCTCTTTGGAAAACATCAGTCCAATGATTTATGTGGCTTTGGTGCCATATTGTCTTCATATAGCTATTTCTCTCTGGCTATAGTTTCATGTTTCCAAAGGACTTTTGTCCTTGAAATATCAAGGTGTTTAGGCATGGATTGAAAAGAGTAAGAAATGGGAGATGTTGGTTTCTTTTCTAGATTTGCCGACAGCTAAATGTAAAACATTTCCTGGATTTTAGGTAATACTAGAGCAAAAAGCCTGGCTTAATATTTTATTTTCAGTCATTATTGTGAAAGCCCACATCCAAAAAATAATATAATTTGTGCCAGACTGGTGTCTTTTACAGAAGAAACAAATATCGCTATCCTCTCTTCTTGATTGAGAAGTTGAATCAGAGTTCATATACAGTTTCCTATGGAATCATATATAGGATGTGAATATCCTTACTCTTAATTATGCTGATGACCATGACATCATACTGATCCCCACTGCTTAGAGGAGGCTTAATTTTTCTCAGTAAAATAATTCCAAGTAGGCAAATTTAAAGTACAATGGATTTATTCATTGGTTGGACAGAGACTTTATGATCATAACTGTTCCCTTAGGAATCCATGTGGGTATTATTAGAAAATATGTTACCCTTTGATCTTATTCTTTCATATAGTGACCATATTTTCCTCTCAATCTACGGATCTGAAAAATAAGTTATAAATTCTAAGGAAATAGTTGCTCTATTATATTCTGAATTCTTTAAGAGATAGGACCAGGTAACCCAGGCTGATTCTCAAAGAGTGAAAGAATTTATGATATGTACTAGTAAAAAAAAAACAAACAAACTGCTACTTTTGTTTTATTTTCTAGATGTAAGGCCACTCAGTCTTTATATCATTAATTACATGCCTTAAATACATATTATTAATTAGAATAAAGCATACCTTTGGCAAGTTAAAAACACAAGGACCTAAAAAAATGGCATAATGTTTATATAGAAAATATATAGAGGTCTTGTTTTATATAATATAAATAATGAATTAATAGAATTAGTTTCAATTTTTAAGGAAATTTGGCAGTAGTTTAATAATAAAGTATGTGAACTTTTCTTCCCTTTTTTGGTGGGTGTGTTTTTTAATATTAGTTCATGACTTTCCAAATGAAGCCATCCAAAAAAGCCACAGTGATTCTTTTATTCTGTCATCAGAGTGATAAATCCTTTTTGCCTTTTTTCTTTTTGGTGGTGGGAAGTATGTATCAAACCCACTGTGTTTACTTACTGATGTATAGTACTTAATTCTTTCCTCCCTTTAATTTTCAATTCTGTGTTTACAGCAAGCTACTGATGCTGAAGTGGGAGCTGACCTTGTCCCTTCAGTCACAGTGAAGGTATTGTACCGTAGTTCTAGGCTCTAATGTGCAAGCAGTATTGTGCATTTCATCACATCTGTCACTATTGTCACCCTATAAGTAGCATATGGAAATGTAAAAGAAACACTTGGTGGGCAGAAGAGCTAACACACATTTTTCCAAAGAGGACATCAAAATGGCCAATAGACACATGAAAAGATGCTTAGCATCACTGATTATCAGGGAAATGCACATCAAAATCACAAGAGATGTCACTTCACAGCTCAGAATGGCTATCATCAAGAAGATAAGAGACAACAGGAGGATGAGGATGTGGTGAGAAGGGAGCTCTTAAATATTGTTTGTGGGAATATAAATCGATCCAACCAGTATGGAGATCAATTGGAGCTTCCTTAAAAAATTAAAAAAAAAAAAAAATCTTCTGTATGATCTAGCAACTCCACTTCTGGGAATAAATCAAAGGAAATGAAAACAGTATTTCCCATGTGATATATACACTCTCATGCTTATGACAGTATTATTCACAAAATAGCCAAGATATGGATACAACCCAAATGCCCATCAATGGTTGAATGGATAAAAAAAAGATATGGTACATTTACACCCTAGGATATTATTCAACTATGAGAAGGGAGGATATCCTTCCATTTGCAACAACATGGGTGGATCTTGAGCACACTGTGCCAAGTAAGATAAGATGGACAGAGAAAGACAAGTACTATACGATATCACTTGTATGTGGGACTCTGAAAAAGTTAAGCCTGTAAAAACACAGGGTAAAATGGGCTTGAGGCTTCCCAGGTGGCTCAATGGTAATGAATCTGCCTGCCAGTGCAGGAGCTGCAGGAGATGTGGGTTTGATCCTTGGGCTTGGAAGATCCCCTGGAGGCAGAAACGGCAACCCGTTCTAGTATTCTTCCTGGGGTAATCCCATGGACAGAGGAGCCTGGTGGGCTGCAGTCCATGGGATCGCTTATCAGGAGTTTGAGTAAGGTTAAGAGTGATGATTTGAAGGGAATACAGGAGTACACTTGTAATGAGTAGTAAATAAACTGTAAATATCTGATGCACAGTGTAATGAATATAGATAATAACATTGTACTGTAGTTATGTAATGTGATTAATATCACTGGATTGGCACTCATATTGGCAATGTATAAACATATCAAAGTAACGGCTATGGTCCATAGGGTTGCAGATTGTCGGACACGACTGAAGTGACTTAGCACAACACAGCACACCATGTGCTGTATACCTTAAATATGCACAATATTACACATTAAATTTATTAAGTTAAAAAAAGATTTCTTGGTTAAAAAGTAAGAAAAAAAAAGAAGGAAAACCCAAACACTTGACATTTGTAAGTTTTCCGTAGCCTTGGGAAGTAAATAGATAACCTTTATCATTTCCTACGAATATAAAAATAGTATTTATAACAGTATGTATATAATAAAAAATTGTAATGACTTATTTCTACCTTTAATTAAATGTGTAGTATGATTTGGGGTTATTTTTTAGAAACCGTATTTAAATATACTGAAGGAATTGTGTCATCACATCTATAGTAGACCAAGCAGCTCGTTTCAGTATTATATATATATTGGGGAATCATATGAATATTAATAATATCTTTCTTCTATGTGTGTATTTAAAAAGAATTCCAAGCCATCTATCTGCCATAATATTAGCTTTAAATGGATGTATTTATAGTAGGAAAATACTAAACGAAGAAGCCGCAGAGTAGAGTAGTGACAAATTGATAGTGCCCCCAAAATACAATATGAAGGATGTGGTTTTGGTTAAGATTTTTAGCCCTGCCATTGTAGAATTTTAGAACTAGGACTCAAATGTAGAACCCTCTTAAGGCATTTAGATTAAAGTGTGGTAATCAGTCAGCACATTATTAAGCTGAAAATATTTATCACTGCCCAGAATTTGGAGCCAGGGAAAGTTGTGGATCTTGGCGATTCACTAAGTCAAAACTTGGACAGGACTTTATATTTTCTTAGATTATGGGTTGCTGTCCTTGGAGGAGCTTGACAGGGCACCAGGCTTTACCAATTGTGTTCGCTTACACTGGACCCAGCGGGTGGCCCAAGTGTGGGGATCTTTGGTAGAAGCTGAAGGGAGCCCAATCTTATAACTGTTTCCTAAGCTAATTTTTTTGGATTCTTGCCACTGGAAACAAGGGTGGTCTTTTCCCAGTCTCCCTTCCCCCTATCCAATCAAAGGCTCTATCTCATTAATACTTCTGAGTCTGGAAAAGCTTTAGTGGCAAGAAATCAAACATTTAAGATAAAAAACAACAATCTTGCAGTGTTCCAGGAATGATCTGTAGACTTTTGTGTAGGGAAATCCCTTTTATATCTATCTACTGATATTGTTCTGACACATACATATAATAATTCTGGAGCATGTTGTAAATTTGAAAAAAAAAGCTTGTACCTAAACCAGATAACATTGCTCATACTAATTTTTTCCCCGACTACTAGTTATTGCTGTAAATAAATACACCTTTCCCTCCCATGTAGTTCTTAGACTTTCCTGTGTAACAGCCACCTTCAAATGATGGTGTGACAGTACTGGAAATTTCTCCTTCATTATGGGAATTTAACTGTGTTTGAGAATGACTAAGTTACACTCTCTTCCTTATTGGTATGATAAAATAATAAGAAAGAATGCGATACTCTAGAGTTACACAAAATCAGCTTGACTTTCACGGCGGACACCGTGACTTCCTGTTTCTGCCTGACAGTTCCTATACAAATTTCTGTTATAAATCTCTCCTTATAGCCTTTAATAACAACAGCAGCCAAAATATATAACCATACAAGTTTCCGTCATAATAAATCCTGTTAATTGAGAAAATTTTTCCATCCGTTCCAAGTGAATGAAGATGTGGCTACCTTGAGTATGTGTGCATGATGCGTGACCATCTGTTCCAGGCAACCAAGGAAGAGTGGTTGTTAATACCTGGCCTTTGGAGTCGTGTTTATATATCTAGGGTAAAAATTTGGTATTATATTTCCTAAGGATCGTATTTTATTTTGTTAGAAATGGAAAATAGCATGGAAAACACTCATATTCATGTTTCATATTTTCCCCTTAATATTCTATAATTATTTTTCTCTTAAAATGTGAGGTTTACGATCTAGCCAAGTCTTTAACTTTTTTTTTTTGGCTCAAACACAAGTCTTCTTTGTTACTGTGGTTATTTTTGTCACACATCATCTTGATTCACATTTGAAAGTGCCTAGTCCATTGTTGGAATTCAATAAATCTGTGTATAAGAGTTATCACCATCCATCTTCCATCTAAACTAAATGCAAACACTTGTAACAGTGTAAAATTGTATGATTGTTGTCTAAGTATGCATTGTTATGCCTAGCAGAGTCAGAACGTCTGCCGCTTTAAAAGTGGCTTATTACTCCTTTAAGGATTTTTTGTTTTCATTTTTAAAACTAAGCTCTTTTTGAGACCTTCTTGGTCATTCTTTTCAGCTCACTTGCATATATTGGCTTGATGGTCTTAAACGTGTTTTTGAGTTTCTCTGAACCTCTGTTTTTAAACTGTAAAATGGGGGTTCTTTTTCATTTGCAGTTATTTTGATTCTTAACCACAGCTAATTAAGAGCATGGGCTCTGGACTCTGACAGACAGAAGTTAACTGGCTGTTCTTCCACTTATAATCAGAGTTGCCTTGGACAAATTATCTAGCTTCTCTGAACCACATTTTTATCTTATGTAAAATGGGATATAGTGATAGATAGTACCTGTTTCACAATGTTGTAGAGGGTAAATGAGATAATACACACAAATAATTTATTAGCATGGTTCCATGAATATAGAAAGCTGCTAATGGCTATTATCATTAGTTTTATTTAAAATACATGTCCAGACCAGTATGGCAAAATGGCTGTCTGAGGAGGCCTTACAAATAGCTATGGAAAGAAGAGAAGTGAAAGGCAAAGGAGAAAAGGAAAGATATACCCATTTGAATGCAGAGTTCCAAAGAGTAGCAAGGAGAGAGAAGAAAGCCTTCCTCAGTGATCATTGCAAAGAAATAGAGGAAAGCAATAGAATGGGAAAGACTAGAGCTCTCTTCAAGAAAATTAGATACCAAGGGAAATTTTCATGCAAAGATGGGCTCAATAAAGGACAGAAATGGTATGGACCTAACAGAAGCTGAAGATACTAAGAAGAGGTGGCAAGAATACACAGAAGAACTGTACAAAAAAATATCTTCATGACCCAGATAATCACTATGGTGTGATCACTCACCTAGAGCCAGACATCCTGGAATGTGAAGTCAAGTGGGCCTTAGAAAGCATCACTAAGAACAAAGCTACTGAAGGTGATGGAATTCCAATCGAGCTATTTCAAATCATAAAAGATGATGCTGTGAAAGTGCTGCGTTTAATATGCCAGCAAATTTGGAAAACTCAGCAGTGGCCACAGGACTAGAAAAGGTCAGTTTTNAGATGGTGACTGCAGCCATGAAATTAAAAGACACTTGCTTTTTGGAAGAAAAGCTATGACAAACTTAGACAGCTTATTAAAAAGCAGAGACATTACTCTGCCAACAAAGGTCTGTATAGTCAAAGCTATGGTTTTTCCAGTGGTCATGTGTGGATGTTAGAGTTGGACCATAAAGAGAGCTGAGCACTGAAGATCTGATGCTTTTGAACTGTGGTGTTGGAGAAGACTCTTGAGAGTCCCTTGGACAGCAAGGAGATACAACCATCTTAAAGTCCATCTTAAAGGAAATCAGTCCTGAATATTCATTGGAAGGACTGATGCTGAAGCTGAAACTCTAGTACTTTGGTCACCTGATGCCAAGAACTGACTCATTGGAAGAGACACTGATGCTGGGAAAGATTGAAGGCAGGAGAAGGGGATGACAGAGGATGAGTTGGTTGGATGGCATCATCAACTCAATGGACATGAGTTTGAGTAAACTCTAGGAGTTGGTGATAGACAGGGAGGCCGAGCATGCTGCAGTCCACGGAGTCGCAAAAAGTCGGACATGACTGAGTGACTGAAGTGAACTGACAAACCAGTATGAAGGTGTTGGTTGTTCAGTCGTGACACCACAGAATGTAGCCTTTTTGTGACACCATTGACTGTAGCCTTCCAGGCTCCTCTGTCCATGGAGTTCTTTAGGCAAGAATACTGGAGTGGGTAGCCATTCCCTTCTCCAAGGGATCTTCCTGACCCAGGGGTGGAACCTGGGTCTCCTGCATTGCAGTCAAGATTCTTTACTGTCTGAGTCACCAGGAAAGGATTATTATTAATAATAAAATATTTAAATTATTTAAATTATATTCCATGTACATGCATAGTTCTTCCTGTAATTACCATTAGGGTTTTACTAAAAAGGTATTATGAATTTTTTAATAAATTTTCAGACATCATTAAGGAAGCTTTTTTCATGGTATGCAGATTTCCCCCCATACCTAGGGCTCATAAAGTGAAAATCGGAGGGTTCATTGTTCATTTGCTGTATTTATTGTATTTCTTTTCTTTTTTTTTTTTTTTTGATGTCTGATCTTATTTGTTACTCTTAGAACATTTCATTTTTGACTGGACTCAGACTTAGAAGTAGAAGCTCTCAGAGAGGACAGCCTCTGTCTCTTGGCAATCTGTTCCTGCCGTTTTTCTTTGGTCTCCTTCATTCTTTTGGCCAAAAGTTTAGCATATTCTGCAGCCTCTTTGTTTTTCTTAGTACGCTGTTTCTTCAGAGCAATACGCCGGCGTTTGTGTCGCCGAACTTGTGGAGTCACGAGACGCTGAATCTTGGGTGCTTTAGTCCTAGGTTTCTTACCTTCTTTGTTTAGGGGCTTTCGCACAACATATTGGCGGACATCATCTTCTTTAGAGAGATTGAAAAGTTTGCGGATTCTGCTAGCTCTTTTGGGACCCAGGCGACGAGGGACTGTAGTGTCAATGAGTCCAGGAATATCCTTCTCCCCTTTTTTCACGATGACCAAGTTGAGAACACTCAGATTGGCATCCACAATGCAACCCCGTACAGATTTGCGCTTTCTCTCTCCAGTCCTCCTTGGTCTGTAACAGGAATGCCCCTTACTCAGTAGCAGGCGAACTCGGCCATGGGTCAAGACACCCTGCTTCATGGGGAAACCCTGCTTATCGTTCCCGCCACTGATTCGGACCACATAACCCTTCCATTCTTCACCCAGAGCGTCAGCAGCAACTTCTGTGGCCATACGCTTCTCGTAGAAGGTACGAAGTTTTCGTTCATCGTCCACTTCAATGAGCTTCTGGCAGCCAGTGGCCGGGAAAGAGATGTTCAGCTTCATTCTGAAGTGGCCAACAGCCTCGAGGTGCCATGAAAGAGAGCTATTGTATTTATTTTCATCAATTATTGTCCTTTAAAATTTTTACTTTGCAAGTCAAAAATTTTACATTTATTTTTAAATTGTACAGAATACACACATCATTTAAAATTAATACATTTACTGAATCTAATTGTATATATATAGGGTTTGTAGGCCAATTATACTTGTGTATTATTTTTCTATCCGTAGTTTCTATATATATGTGTGTGTGTATATGTATATAATTAAGGTATAGTTGATGCATGCCTTTTACCTAAGAGAAAATTAAAAATGTCTTTTCTTTAAAATTAAGTATGCCCTTGCTTGTGCCCAGTCACTAAATCATGTCCAACTGTTTTGTGACTCCCTGGAATGTAGCCCACTAGGATCCTCTGTCCATGGGATTTCCCAGGCAAGAATACTGGAGTGGGTTGCCATTTTCTTCTCCAAGGGATCCTTCCAACCTAGTGATCAAACCCACATCGCCTGCGTTGGCAGGCAGATCTTTATCACTGAGCCACCAGGGAAGCCATGCCCTTACGTTATGCTAATTAGTAGTGAAATGAATCTGTCTCGTATACTATTAGTAGCAAGACTGAAGTGCTCCAAGGCAAAAAAAAAAAACACAACAAAAAACCACGTAGAAGAGAGCTTCTCAACTCTGGTTGTACATAGGTCTTACCTGGGGAACTATTAAGAAAAATACCAATACCCAGGTCTGCCCCCAGAGATTGTGACTTAATTGGTCTAGCAACGCTACCCCACTAGTGACTATAATAAATCCAGCTTGCCATGTGGATAAACTTATCCAAAGGGGATGATTCAAAGAGGCTGGGATTTTTAGGAGATAAAAAACCAGAGAGAGAATGTTCCCAATGGAAGCCAGATCTTTAAGCTTTTTCTTTGATTCCCTTAGCACTGTGGCCGAGCAAACATCTTTGGGCCTGATGAAGTCTGCTGATGTTTCTCTTTAGGGGGAATGAGAGAAGTCCTGGCCTTCTCAACCCATACTCACCCTATTTCTGAGGCAATCTATTACCCCAGAATTCTTAGCTATTAATTCTAATTGGAGTGGGAGGGTTTTTTCTTAGCATCATCAACCAGAAGCACCAGTTTGGAAGTACAGCCAGCTTAGATATGTAGTCAATTAGTCAATATTGCCATTCTTTGATGTTTTCTAGAGTAGTTATGTCAGCTATTTTTGCTTTAAGCCACAGAAGAAAGTGTAGTATTTAAACTACATATGTAGTTAAACTAGCAAATACCTACATAGTAAGGAAATCTTTACCGAGCAGTTAACTTCTGAAAAAGGTGATATACTGATACTAGATAAAATAAATAATTCATAATGCCACATGTATGTAAAGAAGAATTAACACATACAATATTTTATGATGTAATTATTTGCCAGACATGAGGGAAGATTTTTTGGGTCTGCTATTGATAGACCATTTTTAATAGCTTTATTCAGTTATAATTCACATGCCATGCAATTATAGGTCTATAGGGTCACAGAGTCATACATGACTGAAGTGACTTAGCATGCACGCATGCACAGAATGATCACCACAATTTAATTTTTAAACATTTTGTCCCCCACCCCAGTAAAAACCCTGTGTTCCTTAGCTGTCACTTTCTTTTCTCTCCACACCCCCACTTTCAATCCCACTACCATCCCCAAGCAACTGCTAATCTATTTTCTGTCTCTGTAGATTTGCCCACTCTGGATATTTCATATAAATTGCATCAAATAATATGTGGTCTTTTTGTGACTGGCTTCTTTCATTTAACATCTTAATAATGTAATGTACCCATGTTGTAGCCTCTACCAGTACTTCCTTTAGTTTTATTACTGAATAATATTTCATTGTATGGATATTCCATATATTGTTTGTCACTTCATCAGTTTATGGACACTGGGGTTGTTTCTAATTTTGGTTATTGTGAATAAAGCTGCTAATACATGTGTACAAGATTTTGGGTGGACATTTGTTTTATTTCTCTTCATAAGGAATTATGAGGATAAATGATAAATTTATGTTTAATTTTAAAAGAAACTGTCAGACTTTTTTCTTGATTAGCTATACCATTTTACATTTCCATCAGCAATTTAGGCAGGTTCTTGTTTCTCCACATTCTTGGTAACACCTGTTTTTACCTTTTTGAGTATAGCATTTTAGTCGATGTACAGTAGTAGTCCAATGTGGTTTTGCTTTGTATTTCATACAGCGATTTTGAGCATTCTTTCATATGCTTGTTGGCTACTTGTATATCTTCTTGGAGAAAAAGTCTGTTGGATTCCTTTATCCAGTTTCTAACTGGGTAGAACTTTTTAATCTACTACTTATGTTACACATTATGTTTTGTGATAGCTCATTTTTTTTCTTAGATTGTATTTCTCTAATTATTTGTTGTAGTTGTAGTATTCTATCAATTTGGAAAAAATATAATTTTCTGTTAATAGCAATTTCTATTTTCTCAGGTCACACTGCGGAATCGAGTGGCACTGCAGAAGATCAAATTATCAATCTATGTGCAACCACCTTTAGTACTAACTGATGATCAATTCACCTTTGAATCTATGGGTAAGTGTTTTCTTTTGGCTGAAAGTCTATCATGGTGTGAGGTTTTTTTTTTATTTTTTTATTAGTAGATTTATTTCATGGCTATATTTCTTGTCTGAATATATCAGGTATTTTCCTGAAATCAATGTGTTGTTTTGCTTATATTTCCCCTCTAAACATCAGTCATGGACATTCAACAAATGGCTGTTGAGCCATAGTAATTACAGATCTTCAAGCAATTTTCTTAACTAAATGGACCAGCAATTGTACTTAATTACTATATTTTGGAAGGATATTTTAATGGTGTTTCTCTAGTGAGCTATTTATTGAATCACTAGAAAGAATATTTATTGGTTTTGGAGTGTGTCCTGAATTTGAGTTTTGGCTCTGACACTCAAGGGCTTCCCTTGTGGCTCAGCTGGTAAAGAATCCGCTTGCAATGCGGGACACCTGGGTTTGATCCCTGGGTGGGTAGGATTCCCTGGAGAAGGGACAGGCTACCCACTCCAATATTCTGGCCTAGATAAGCCCATGGACTGTATAGTCCATTCGGTCATGAACAGTCAGACACAACTGAGTGACTTTCACTTTCACTTTCTAATACTCACTCAGTGTAACCATGGGCAAGCTACTTTGGTAATTATATGGAACCTCGTTTTTTTTTTTTTTTAAATTCTACAGAAAGGGAATAATGATATCTGTCTTGCAGAACTATTTTAATTTGAATTTAATCAGAAAATTAATTAGATTTAATTAGAAAATGAATCTATGTATGATATCTGTAATAACGCTTAAAATAGTAGATAGGTAATAAATGGCAACTCTTTGTAAGATTTATTTGTATAGAGTCTCTCTTACCACTTACATCCAAGTTGTCATTAATTCTGATAAAATGACTTCTGAATTGTCTGTCAAGTCTTTTTCTGTTTTTCTTTATGCCAGTGTTTAGATGGGAACCCTAATTTTACCCATAAAAATCAAGACCATCTCTTTTTTTTTTTCTTTATATAACTAACCTCTACCTGAGTGTGTGGCAAATAGTGGAAACTCAATAAGTACTCATTGAATCAGTGAATGAATGGTTAGTGGTTGAGGTAAACTTGTAGGTGGCATCTTACTTTATCTGTAAAATTTTCACAGTACTTCCAAGTTGTCTTTCTAAAACATTCTGGATAATTAATGTTTTCCAGTTGAAAACTTTTTATAGCTCTCTAATACATGTTGGAGGTCAAGTACATGAATATGGAAGGGTATGTACAATCTGCTAAGTTGCTACATCCATATCCAGTTCCCCCTTTCATTTTCTCCTGCAGTCTGTGTTCTAGCCATGGTAAAGCACTATTTCCCACTCCCAAATTCTCTTTCCCTTTGTGTACCTTTTTCTTTGTTCATCTTGCCTGTTCATCTGAGTAAAGAAAGGCAGTGGTGTGGAATGGCAGGTACCCTTGTTCTGGAGTCAATTCCTACCTCTGTCTTAACTATATGACCTTGGGCAAGCTTTTAAATCTCTGTTGCCATTTTCCTCATGCACCAAAAATGGAGATAATAATAGTGACCACCATGTAGGGTTGTTGTGAGGATTAAATGAGTTAATCTATGCAAGTGTTATGTAAAATGCTTAAGACAGTAGCTGGCATGCAGTGTATGTCTAATTTCAGTTGTTGTTAATAATAATTGCCTGAAATTATGTAACATATTATTTTTACATTGCTTATAGCACCAGATATGACTAGAACTGTAGGCTTTTCCGTTTATCTGAAAGGAAGTTATTTACCACCTGAATTGGAAGGAAATGCTGTTGTTTCTTATTCCAGACCAACAGGTAAACATATAGTTCACGAATTTATAAGCCTAATAATCACTTCTTTTAAATTACTGGAGTTGTGGGTTAGATGTTTAAGTGTTTAAGATGGGAAGACATATTGTAACTATTATTAAAAGAAAAAATATTATTACACAGTGTTAGATAAAAAATATCTGTCCAAGTTACTTTCATGTGTTATGAATAATTACTGATAAGTCTATTCAGCTGATTTCTATATGTGATGTTTGATTCTATCTTTTCAATTAATAGTGAATATGATATTTTTTATTCTCACTAGAATAATGTTATCTACTCAGACTTCATGTATTTGAGCTAAACAGAAAAGCCTAGTCTGAATTAGTAAAAATCGCCATATAGGTTACTCTAATATTAAGGCAGTCTTTAGAGTTTCAGACACTGCTTTAGTGATTAAATGAAACTCTTTAATATCTTACATGTTAAAATACTTAAGAACAGGATCTGTATTATTTCAAGAAACTGATAGATCAAAAAGTTCTTTTTAGACCAGTAGAGATCCAGTTATTATAAATTTCAAGTTGGATTCAATTTTATAGTTTCTTTGTGTGTTTTTATATAGTGAATTTTTCATAGTAATAGTTTGACAATTAGTTGATTGACAAATAATAGTCATTGCTTTTTTAAAAAAAGTTTGAATATAGTATAACTGATAGGCTATTTCAGTAGTGTTGCATTTGTGTTTTTAAGCATTTCTGTACAGTTGTCTTAGTTTAAAAAGCCTTAGAGATGCCATATTCATATTTTTTCTATTGATATCCACTTTGGTTACTTAGCAATATTTTTATGAAACTGTCACCCTACCTACTGTGCTAATGAGGCACCTTGGCAATGTTTTTAAAATTGTAGTTCTTATTTTGTCTCAGTAAATTTTCTGTTTTATGCATGGACAACTCTATGCTTGGAGGTGTTTCTTCATAACTTTAGTACAAGTTTTCAAAATCTGTTTCATCTTTGTAAATAATTTTATTTTAAATTATAAAAAATCATTTTTAGCCAGAAGTGACCACTTTAACCTTTTACCTATATTTTCAAAATATGAGGTAGTGTAAATATTTTATGTTTAAGCAGCTTTGAGAAAGCTGGCTTCAGAAAGAAATACAGGACCTCCATGAGGGATCAAGAAATGATGGACATTTTAGTTGGATATTTCTGAAAAGAACATTTAAATGTTCAGTGAGTTATGAAATAAAAAATAGGACATGTTGGCTAAAATCTCTAGATAATGTATCATTAATTGAACATCTCAATAATCATAGGATAAAAAATTATACTTTTTATCTTTGCTACTCCTTGAAAATACAGTTGTAGAGATTGTTGATGCCATAATTCAACTAATCATTTCATTTATCTTTAAGGAAAAGTAGTTGAAAATCAATTTAAAATAAATAAATGAAATACCTAGCAAGTAGACAAAAGCTTAAAACCACGCTATAAAGTTATTAAATCATTTGGTGAGCTTATGGTTGCGCATACCATTTTTAGCTATTATGCTTTTGTAAAGATGGAATTTGAAAGATTATAAATTATTACTAAAAATGCATAGACAATAATTGGTTGAAAGCTAATTTGAAATTAAAAACAAGTCTATAAAAGTAAAAGAATACCTAGACAAGCTGGAAAGAAAAGGCATTGTTCCATAATAATATCTACTAATTAAAATTATAATATAAGCAAGGCTAACTGGAAATACTAATTATATGTATTTGCCTTTAGCTCATTTTTTTCCCCCCAAAATTCATGTAATGCTCTGATGTCATTTACATGTTGAATCTGGTGTGTTTTTGGTTAGATCGTGTATCTTTACATCTTTTTGCCACTTTATATTGGAATAACACCATCTCATGGACTTGTGAGAATGGAAGAGCAAATATATTATTAGATTTCAGTTACTCATGTTATATTCTTCAACTGTGAACTGGCTCATATTTATTTGCGGGCCATTTAAATCATCTGTATGAATCTTTAAAGTTTTAATTTATATTTCAAGCAGATGTGCATTAAATTTGTGCTATAATTTTATGACAAATAATTTGTTGTATTCTTTCTCCCCATCCCTTTTTGCATTGTCTCTGATGGATAGAGAGAAATCCTGATGGTAAGTGAAAAGATAATTTAGAACAAAGTGAATTTCAGAAATGAAATTTGGTTGGTAATTGAACTGTGGTATTATCCCTTGAGTGAATTCTTTTTAGGGACTGCTGTTTTGACTCTAGCAACCTCTTTAGGGTGATTCAGTGCCTTGATTTGGCTACAGAGAAGACAATAGATGTTTCCATAATAGAGATTTGTCATTCATTATTAGTTGTTTCAGAGTCATGAGAAACAATGAAACTTCATGACATTTTTGAACAAAACCAAAGGTGTCATTGACTACTTATGTCTGTAAGTTACTCGTGATTTGCCTGTGCTCTGTTATCTTAGTTTACTTAAAAAGAGTAAGGAAAACAATTCTGAATTCTAAATTGTCTGATTCTGTATACCCCAAAAGACTCACCCCTTTGTCTGATCAGAATGCCATGTGTACTCAGGCTATGGACCTATTCCTTGTTTTGTTTAGAATTTGTGGGGAAATATTATCAAGAATCTGACCCCTTGAACTTGCCTAGGTCAGAGTTGTCACTGTTTTGTCTTCTCCAAATTCTTTGTTTATGACTTTGCTATAATACTTATCATAATATGAATTTCATTGTTTGTTCCTTAGGTCTCCCTAGTAGATTTCTGAACTCTTTGAGAGCAGGGTTCAAGTCCTTGAATTGTGCAGTATTCTAAATTATATGGGAGATTATATGGGAGACACTCTAAAAGTATCTTCTACTTTGATTATTTTTCTTTCTAGACACAGACTTAATGGGATGGTTTTTCTTAGTTTATTAGCCATTTTAAGATTAATATTAGATAATATTAATTGGTAATATTAGATAAATAAAATACTTAATGGCCTTATTTATTCATATAGTTGTGGTGGTACCAACAACCTCAATTGCACAGTGTCTGGAAGGTGAAAATATATTTATATGAGAAATATTTTAATAGAAGTAAGCTTTTAGCTTGCATAAAGTGTACTTTTCAAACTAGAGTTTGGGCTATTAAAAATATTAGTAATTAATATTTACATTTTACTTTGCCAGATTGCATGTAACTGATAAGATTTTGCAATAACTTTTAGAAAATTCTGTATTATTATTTAAATTATTTTGAGTTTTTAAAAAATTCTGTAAAGGTTATTATTGAAAGTAATTTATTCCCTTTTACTATAAATTCCGATCAAACTATGAGAAAAAAATCACAATATATGGAAATTTCAGTATTTCAATGCAAAGCTAAAGCCAGTTTTAATAATCTCTTATGCTATATTTAAAATTTTTAATTAAGCTTCAGGAGTAGAGTTGAAATATTCAGGTTCACCTAGAATGCAAAAAACAATATGTTGCCATTTAGATCTTACTTATACACAAAGCTTCACATTTCAAAGACTGTTCCATTTTATTGACCTGATCTGTTCAGACTGTATTGCAGATAAGCAAGTCCTGCTTTTCAATGTGGAAAAAGAGAAGCAAATGAGGTTTTATGTTGTCCCATAAGAATTAGTCTCCATTATTTCTGCATTAAAGTTACATGACTTGGGCAGTGTAAAACATGACTGCAGATGGAGCACAGTACGTAGCCAGACATAACAGGAAGGGATCCAGGAAGTTCTGGCTACCAGACTTGCTACTGCTTTCGGGCCCCTTGTTTTCAATACGAAATGACTCTAGCAGGCCCCTGGAAAGAGTTCTAAAGGTATTATATAGATGTGTAATATATAGTTATTCTACTCTGGTATATAATTTCTTTTTTCTTTTTTTTGAAGCACATTTTGGCTTCCCTCTTGACAGTGATACTGGTCTCTTGGGTGTGCCAGGGGTAATTAGAATTCTCTTCCTCGAAAAACTATTCTGTCAGGAGTGATTTTGATGTGAATTTTGTCTCTAAGTGTTACATAATTTTGTGATTAATTGCACCCTAGTACTTGTGACTATCCATTTCCTCAAGTAAGCTAGCAGGGGAAGTATTTGAAGGAGAAGTGATTATATTTGTTAAAAAGCTGTAGAACAAAGTCAGTCTGATGAGTGAATAGGCCAATATTTGCGTATTACAAATGACCAAATTTTCTTCTCTCTCAGCATTATACTCAGAGAGTTGAATAAGCCAAATAGCCTGTTTTGCCAACTAAATATTGCTGATGGTAGACAATTAGGGCAAATTAGGCTCTTTCAACTAAGCTGAAAGCTACCCTACTAGCAACTTTGGAAAGTCTTCAAATACATATAATTTTTTCCTTTCCTTATTACCCTCACACATACCTCTACACATCTTCGGCTTCAGGTTCTTAGGTACAATTATAGCCTGAAGAGTAATTGGCAGACAAATTTACATTTCAAGTTTCTTAAGAAAATGTAAACCTCAATAGTAATGTGCCTCTGATAAACCCCATGTTTAAATACTAGACATTATATTTTGAAATGTTTAGGTTTTAATTTGGTGGGAAGTATTATAAAATACTGGCTTTGTAATTTTTCTTTTAAAGATTTTGTTTCCTTAAACTTATTTCTAAAGGATTTCATATTCTTTTTTTCTTCCCTGATGGTAAAACTTCTCAAGCTGCCATCATTTAAAAAACAGCCATAATCATTTTATTAAGTATGTGTCATCATTTTTCAAAGTAATGTTTTCCAAATGTCCTATGAAACAGGTTTACAATTCTTGGAGAGAAAAGAAATTCTGGAGGGGTTCTACAAATCTTAGCAACTGCTGACCATTGCCCTAGTGTGTGATATTGTCATTAACTGACTTAACTGAACTGTGAATTGAGTTATAATGTATTACCCTTTTTGGGTTTATTAGTGCTTGCAATCCATTTGTTTCAATTTCTAAAAACATGTATATACTACTAGTTTCTTTAGCTCTGGGTTCTTGGAGATTTAGGGCAATAATCTTCAAATATATATAAGTAATGTAAAGCTAGAGTTGATCATGATTAATTTTGTTTTACCACAAATTCAATCAGTACCTGGTCCAAGTGAAGCTGAGCCACAGTTTTAGCAGTATAATTTTAGAAGAGTATTTACAGTTAAATTTTATTTGAACAATTAGCTCAGATTTGGTTGAAAGTACATAGATGATAGCTTTTCTTTGTGCATGTACAGAATTGTCAGAAGATGAAGTGTTTTTTTCCCCATTATTCTATTCATTTAAAATGAAGGAAATGGAAATAGGCTACAGTTTCCTGGTTTTTTCCAGATTGCATCTATTAATTGAGGCTGTAATTTATATATTGTAGAGGAAGCATACTAGTAGGTATATTTTCATAATTTGGGGATGTATGGAATATATGAAGTTGGAAAGAATAATACTTTGTAATTTTTTTATGGTGATATTGATAGTTGTGGTTTGAGCAGTAGCTTAGATCATGTTACCATAATATTTTGAGTCAAAACATTTCATCACTGTTAAGTACAAATTCACATGCCTCTAAAACCTCACAAAATGTCAGGAAATAATACCCTGGGACTTTTCTGAAGAGACACCAGTTATAATTTGCATCTAGGATTCCAGGAGAAGTGAATTTAACATCTGTTGGTTATGAGCAAAAAATGAGCTATGTAAAATTTGATGGATAATAGATTATATTGAAGAGAATGACAAATACGGTCCACATGCCCTGAAAAAGTATTTAATTGACCTCATATATCAATATGTTTGCCATTTTTGAGGATCTCTCACTATCCTTGTGAATAAGTAGTACTGAAAAGTGTACTCCCAGCTTGGTTGTAGAATAAACCACACAACTCCAGTTGGCATTAACAAAATATATTGCTAATTCTAGGAATCCTACTTTGGGATCATGTCTCCAAACTTTCCTTCTTCTGCTTTCCTATTTTTAACCTGCCCTCTGACTCCACTGTAAAGAAATAAAGGAATTAAAGTGTGGATCCATTAGGTAGAATAGAACATTTTAAGTCTTCCCTTTCTCTATAGTAGTTTACTAAGATATAGGTTTCTGTATATTATTTTTTTATCCTATCCAGTCAAATATAGAATCCTAGATTAAAAGGAGAGAAAACTAAAGTTGTAGAATTGCTTTACTTGATTTATTAGTAGAGAGCCTAGTTTGCTTTGGTTTCAGTTTCACTTTTTATAAAAATATTGAAAGGAATGGCTTTTAAAAACTTTAAATTCTGATATAAAAATCTTCATTGTTATTTATTCATGAAATTGCCTATTTCAATATGCCTCTATACTTTCTGAAAAAATTTGAGAATTGAATGACTGTGTAAACCTTTCAAAATGCTGTTTAAAAGTGATATGTAAAGTTAAATGAATTGGGAAAAATTAATTTGTATGAAAGTAATATTCTTAATGTTGATGTGTAAAATGACATGAAGTTTATTAGAACTTCAGTAGGACAAATTCTGCTTTCATGCTCATAGTTTATTGCAAATTGTTAATTGTACTTTGAAACTTCAGTAAATAGAAGAGCTAAAGATTAAAAGATTGGGGAGATAGAGAAATGATTAGATGTGGTCATGCAGAGTGTTCCTGATATAAACTTCATATTCTTTGTTCATTTCAGCTGATAGTCTTGCATTAGGACTAGAGGTTTGAAGGTCTTCATAACAGTTTAGTAATTGAATATAACTGCATATAATGTTTTATATAACATTCAACTGTGAATTTTTAAAAATGATATTATTATTAAAGGCAGAGCTTACACTTATCCTCCTTTTTAAGATTTTATTTTTGCCTTGTACCTTTGGATAATAATGTAAAAACATAAATTATGATAATGCTTTCCAGTTATTTCAGTTGTGCTAGATGAAATGGTCGGGTAGCAAACATTTAAACTAAGATATGTTGTTACCATGTACTACAATTAGTGAAATAGTACAGTTTTTTTCTTATTTGTCAAATTTACGAGTATATATTTCTCTCTTTTTAATTTCAGGCATTCCTCGAGTTAGCCAATGTAAGTTTAGACTTCCTCTGAAATTAGTCTGCTTACCAGGCCAGCCTTCAAAAACTGCAAGCCACAAGCTAACTATTGATACCAACAAATCTCCAGTCAGTCTTCTCAGTCTCTTTCCAGGTAGGACTTTTGAAGTAACATGCCTGTAACATCAGAAATGTTAAGAATTTAGAATGGAATCCTTCATCAACAGGTAATGATAGGGTAATTATCAGATAATTGTTAAGTCAGAGTATAAAAATACCTCAAGGGTTTTTTCCTCGTTTGCCTGTTCAAAGGCGAATGGCTTATATCAACAAGGTAATAAAGTGCACCTTTTAAGTTTGATTAAAATTATTATAATCATTATTTTGCTTCGGAATACAGAAATGAAGACATCAAATGTTTCTTTTTAGACCTTGGGATTTTTGGGGCTTGGAATGTAAATATTTATTATTCATCTTTACTGTAGGTTTTTGAATATATCCCTTTTCTAAGCATGTAAATATTTATTATTCACCTTCATTGTAGGTTTTTGGAGATGTACCTTTTAAAAGTATATTCTTATGCCTCTGAAAAGTAATCTCTTAAGTAGGTGTTTGTGATTCCGCTGTCTTCAGCAGTTGGAAGGGACAGTGTTCATTCTCTGCCTCTGATGTTTTAGAAGGGGTTTCATGTATAAAGCTTGAACATCACAGTGAACATTTGGGGTAATTTGTGAAGGTGTGACTTTCTCCAGGTGTTGGTTTTTCTTTTTTGAGTAGTTAGAAAAGAGAGAAGCATTGATTGGATCAAACATTTTTAGTTGCCAGGGTTTCTAATGTGTCATATCTATTAACTTTCTCGGTGATGAAGTGGAATTAAAAAAATATCTGGGAATTAAATCAACCCTTTTAAATCCATCATTAAAATTCAGCACTGTTGACTGTAAGATGCATCTTCACCCTTGCATTAGTGGATAGGATTTAGAATACAAAGTATTTCCCACAAGGTTTAGAAATTTATGGTAAGTCAACTTTTGTGTTATTAACTACTTAAAGTGATTAACATTTACTTTTCATTAATTTGAAGTCTTTTTTAAAAGCCTTATTTATATATAACTCTATGAAAAATCTCCAAGATGCTCTTTATTACACTTAATCTATTCTTTAGTTCAGATGAATTTGAGTGAATGAGCATGTGTGTGTGCTTGTGTGTCTGTAGTTAACAAGTAGTTTTGTGCCTTTTGATTTCTTATTCCTTTCCCTTCACTTTCTTCTAGTCAATTTTCTTGTATTAAAGTTGGATTATAAAAAGGGCAGAGCCACTGCTTTTGTAACATCTTATGCAAGCATACTAGTTCCTTGCTCTCCTATCCTGACAATATAAATTGCATATGCTGCATGCTAAATTTATTAATATCTTTGAAAAATGTTTAAGACTGGCTTCTGAGTGGTCGATCTTTACTGTAGATGGCTGAAACCAATAGAGATTAAATAAGGATGCATGCTTTTGATCAGAGAAGGAGCCTCTGTAAGCTCTGGTTGGATAGAAGTACTAAGGAAAGCTTAGATAACTCATTCATTTCTGTCCTGATTCTGGACTTAGTTGTTTTGATGTTTTGTAGGTTCATCAGCATATATTTGCATCTTATTCATTTTAACAGTAAGACTCAATGACAAATTTTTAAAAATTTCCCCTAAGATTCAGTTTATGAATACAGCATGTTCTCTCTTGAATTTCCAGATTTGTATTCATATTAAACATACTGGAATCCTGTAATTATTTAAAATAAATACTCTTGCTACTTTTTTACTTTTCATAATATATTCATTTTTGCTATATGTGACTTTTATATGTTGATATTAAAGTTGCTATTGCAAGTTTATTTTTTAATGGAAATAAACGAATGCTCTTCATAGAAAAGAAATAAAACAACTTTTAGTCTACATCTCTTCCTATTTGTTTATTTCAGTACTTTTTTGTATATTTAAAATAGCTTTAATTTTTCTGGTTACAAAAGATTTCTGAAGTTTAGCAATGGATAACCAAGAAGAAAAAAAAGTTACTGATAATTCTACCACCCAGCAGTATCTACTTATGTTTCATTATATTTCCGTACTCTTTTAAAAAATATTTTCTGTAAGCATTTCATCCCGCCAAAGAATATTACTTTGCATATTGTTATGAAACACTTTACTGTGTAATTAGATTTTTGTTTTATGATTTTTAATAATTGCATGCTATCCTATCATAAATCTGTACTATAAAATCATTTGCCTAGCATTGTAGTTTTCAACATTTATGTTGTTTTCAGTTTATTAATACTGTAAATATATTACATCAGTGATTCTCTAAATTTGTTATTATTTCTTTGATGAGTATCTAAAAGCAAAATTACAGAATCCACCAAAGGGTAATGTTTTTAAAGCTTTTGAAACGTAATGTGAAATTGACTTTCTGAAGGGCCATACTAGTTAACTTTATCAACAGTGTTTGAATGGAGGTGTCTAGTGCCCCAAATCCTGGCTAGTAGAGAATGTTCTAATTCTGAAAAACTTTAATATGCTTAATGGCTATACAGAAAATATTTACATACATCAGTTCAGTTCAGTTCAGTTGCTCAGTTGTGTCCAACTCTTTGCGACCCCGTGAGGCATGCCAGGCCTCCCTGTCCATCACCAACTCCCGGAGTTTACTCAAACACATGTCCATCGAGTCGGTGATGCCATCCAGCCATCTCATCTACATATACATAAATAATTGTCTGGATGATTTTGGCTAAATGTGATTTAAGCAAGATAATATAAATTTCTTGATCTTGATTAAAGAGAAGTCCAGAAGTGGGTATGAAAGCTGGTATGATGCTTTGTGAATATTATCAAAGACCCAGTTTATTTTCTCTTTGCAATGTGCATTCTCTAGTATGTTGGCTTCTTCCATGGCAATAAGATAGCTGCTTTGGATTTGTTGTTGTTCAGTCACTAAGTCATGTCCAATTCTTTGCGACCTCATGGACTGCAGCAAGTCAGGCTTCCCTGTCCTTCATTATGTCCTGGAGTTTTTCAAATTCATGTCCATTGAGTCAGTGATGCTATCTAACTATCTCAACCTCTGCTGCTCTTGCCTTCAATCTTTCCCAGCATCAGGGTCTTTTCCAATGAGTAGCCTCTTCGGATTAGGTGGGCAAAGTGTTGGAGCTTAGCTTCAGCATCAGTCTTTCCAATGAATCTTCAAGGTTGATTTCATTTTGGATTGACTGGTTTGATCTCTTTGCTGTCCAGGGGACTCTCAAGAGTCCTTTCTAGCACCACAATTCAAAAACATCAATTCTTTGGTGCTCAACCTTCCTATGGTCCATCTTTCAAAATGGCAACTCACTCCAGTACTCTTGCCTGGAAAATACTATGGACGGAGGAGCATGGTAGGCTACAGTCCATGGGGCTGCAAAGAGTTGGACACGACTGAGCAACTTCACTTTCACTCACATCCATACTTGCCTACTGGAAAAACTGTAGCTTTGACTATACCACTTTGTTGGCAAAGTGATGTCTTTCCATTTTAATATGCTGTCTATGTTTGTCATAGCTTTCCTTCCAAGGAGCAAGCATCTTTTAATTTTGTGGCTGCAGTAACTGTCCACAGTGATTTTGGAGCCCAAGAAAATAAAATCTGTCATTGCTTTCACTTTCTCCTCTTCTATTTGCCATGAAGCGATGGGACTGTATGCCATGATCTTAGTTTTTTGAATGCTGAGTTTTTAGCCAGCTTTTTCACTCTCCTTTCACTCTCATCAAGAGGCTGTTTTTTCCTCCTCATTTTCTGCCATTAGAGTGCTTAAATCATCTAACTACAAGGCAGGAAGTAGAGGAAAGAGATAACTATGGCAGTAACTGTTAACTTTTATCAGAAAGGCATGTTTCCATAAAGTTCATAGCAGATTTCTACTTACGGCTCAATAGACATAATATTGTCACATGGCCTCTTCTACAGCAAAGGGGACTGAGAACTAATGTAGATGGGCTTAGAAAAAGGAGGTTGGGAATAGATGTTAGGTTAGCTGACATTCAGTGTATGTCATGATACCAGAAATTTTACAGAAAAATTTTACTTAAATGTTACAACAAATAGCATGCTATTATAGCAGTCTTTTATGGTACTCAAATATATGGCTATCTTCGTTTGTGAATAAATTTGTATTTTAATATTAACGTAATATTCTATTGTTTCCCTCGTGGTTCAGATGGTAAAGAATCTGCCTGCAATGCAGGGGACCTGGGTTCAATCCCTGGGTTGGGAAGATCCTTTGGAGAAGGGCAGGGCATACCACCCCAGTATTATTGTCTGGAGAATTCCACAGACATAGGAACCTGGTGGGCTACAGTCTATAGGGTCACAAAGAGTCGGAAACGACTGAGCATCTGTCACTTTCTGTTGTTTGGAGGCACCATGTATATAGCTTTTTTGTACTTCTCTGTTTCTATTTGGAGGAATTCCTTGAGGATAAATGGCTGAGTTAAAGGATATGCACATTTGAAAGCTGTATTCAAATACCAAAGTTATTTCCAGAATAATTATATGAAGTTACACACCCAGTATCGGGGTTTGTACCGAGTTGCAGCTGGATTTAAATCTTTTAAAATTTTTGACATGGTTATCTGAAAAGTGGCATCTCTTTTTAAAATTTGCATTTCTAAATTATTTGTTAGCATAGAAATTTTGTAATTTTTATTTATTACTTGTGCTCTTTTAACATATAAAGTTTTTATTTTTAGGTAGTAAAATTTAAAGTTTCATTTCATTTATTTTTTTAGTTTCAAGTTTTCATGTTGTGCTTGGAATGATCTCTATTTTAAGATTATAAAATATTTACTTATCTTTCTTCTGGTACATTTTAATATCTTCTTTAATTCTCAGACACAGTTTCAGTGTATTTTTTTTTTTATAAAAAACAACTTTATTAGTGTATAACTTATGTACACATGTATAAAGTGTACAATTTGGTAAGTTTTGATGTTTATGTATACCTTTGAAACCATCCCTACAATCATGATGCTGAAAGTATCCATCACCCCAAAGAGTTTCTTTGTTCTGCTTTGTTAGCCTTTCCCCTCCATCCCCAGGCAACACTTGTTTCCCTTCTGTCACTATGGGTAAGTTTGTGTTTTCTAAAATTTTGTAAAATGGAACTACTCAGTATGTGCTCTTTTTTTTTTTTCAGTCTGTCCTTTTCACTCCCTTATCAGATTATGTGATTTGCAAATATTTCCTCCCAGTCTGTGGTGTATCTTTTCATTCTTTTAACAATGTCTTTGGAAGAATTAAGAAAGAATTAAGAAATTCTTAATTTTGCTAAAGCCCAACCTATCAGTTTTTTTTCTTTTATGGATCATGATTTTAATGTTATATCTAAAAAATTTTTGCCTAACTCAAGGTTACAGATTTTTTCTCATATGTTTTTTCTAGAAGTTCTCTAGTTTCATGTTTTGCATTTAGGAATCTTATCTATTTTGAGTTGATATGTGTGTATGGTGTGAGATAGGGACAAAGTTCATGTTTTTGCATTTAAATATCTAATGTGCCAGCACAATTTTTGAAAAGCCTATCCTCTTGCTCTGAATAGTCTTTGAAAAGTTGTTGAAAATCCTCTGACTATACATCATAAGACTATATAAATAATTGGAATGTATATATATATTTCTGCTCTGTTTGTTCCATTTATCTATCTTTGTCCTTCATTATTTCTATATACCAAACAGTGTCTTGGGGCTTCCCAGGTGGCGCTAGTGGTAAAGAACCCGCCTGCCAATGTAGGAGATGTAAGAGATCAGGCCTAGTTCAATCCCTGGGTCAGGAAGATCCCCTGGAAGAGGGCAGGGCAACCCACTCCAATATTCTTGTCTGGAGAAATACATGGACAGAGGATCCTGGTAGGCTACTGTCCATAGGGCCACAAAAAGTCGGACACGACTGAAACAACTTAGCACACACAAAATAGTGTCTTGTTTGCTATTTGTAAGTCTAGAAATCAGGTAATGTAATTTATCTAACTTTATTTTTTTTCCAAAGTTGTTGTTGAAACTTTGATCAGTTACATTTTCACATGAATCTTAGAATAAGCTTATCAATTTAAAAAATGCCTTTTGGGATTTTGCTTAGAATTGGAATTGACTTAATTCTGTAGATCAATTTGGAGAGAAACAACATCTGAACAATATTGAACATGGTAAAATTTGCTCCACTTATCCTAGTTTCTTAAGATGAAAATATAGACATTCATTTAGGGCTTATTTTATATTTCTCACTAAGAGTTTTTGTTTTCAATGTACTTCTCTTACAAATCTTAAGCAGATTTATCCTTAAGTATTTAATACATTTTTATGCGTTAGCAAATTGTATTTTATTTCAGTTTCAAATTATTCCTTCCTACTACATAGAAATACAGTTGGTTTTTGTATATTCATCTTGTATCATGCTACATTGTTAAACCATTTATTGGTTCTGCTAGCTTTTTTTTTTTTTTTAAAGATTTAATTAGATTTTCTCCATAGAGGATCATGTCATCTGCAAGTGAAAACACTTTTATTCTTCCTTTCTAATCTGGAGATTCAGTTTACTTTTGGCTTGCTTTTTTTTTAAACCTGGGCTAGAACTTCTGGGATGATGTTGAATAGAAATTGTGAGAGCAAACATTTGGTCTTTAAGCATTAAATATGTTTTATTAATAGCTGTAAATATTTTGTAGGTGTCCTTTACCAGCTTGAGAAAGTTCTCTTTTATACCAGGTTTGCTATGAGTTTCATTAGGAATAGATATTTAAGTTTTTCAATGCTTTTTTGATATCATTTGAAATATTTTATGTCATTTTTTTCTTTAGTCTGTTAATAGGTGGATTACATTGATTAATTTTTGAATATTAGCCCAACTGTGCATTTTTGAGATAAGTCACATTTGATCATGATGTATTTTCCTTTCAACAGGCTGTTGGATTAATTTGCTAAACTTTAGTTTATAATTTTTACATTTATATTTATAAATGATATTGATATATAATTTTGCTTCCTTATGAGTTATTAATGTGGAGTTAATGGAATGAATTGGGAAATATTTACCTCTCTTCAATTTTTTTTGAAGAGTGTGCTGAATTGGTATTATTTATTGCTTAAATATTTGGAAGAATTCACCAGGGAAGTTTTCCAGACCTAAAGTTTTGTGTATGGGAAAGCTTTTAAATTACAAATTCAGTTTCTTCAAAAGATATAGGACTGTTCGTGTTATTTTTTATTGAGTGTACTTTTCTATCTTTCAGAAAATAGGTGTATTTCATCTGAGTTGTTGAATTTATTGGCATAAGGTTGTTGATAACATTTTCTTATCCTTTTAACATTTGTAGAATCTAGAGTGAAGACAACTCACTCATTACTGATATTGGTAATTTGTGTTTTCTCTCTTTTTTTCCTCCTGATCTGTTGACTAGAGGTGTATCTATTTTATCTCTTTCTGAAATACCAGCTTTTGGTTTTATTTATTTCATCTTTTTATTTTTTGTTTCCTATTCTTTTTAATTTCTCTGATTTTCTTCTGCTTACTTTGGGTTTAATTTTCTTTTTTCTAGTTCTTTAAGGTGAAAGCAGAGACCATTCTTTTTAATGTAGTTGGTTAATGCTATAACATTTCTTCTAACTATTGCTTTAGCTGCATCCTGCAACTATCAAATACTGTATTTTTAATTTTCATTCTGTATAAAATACTTTCAAATTTCTCATTTTATTTCTTTTTTTTTGACCCTAGCGTTATTTAGAAGTATGGTGTATAGTTTTGAAACTTTTGGGGATTTTCCATAGAACTTTTGTTATTCATTTGGAATTCAATTTCACTGTGGTAGGAGAACATACTTTGTGTGACTTGAATTCTTGTGAATTCATTGAGACTTATTTAGTGCCCCTAAATTAGGACAGTTTTGTGAAGTGAATGTTCTAACTAATAAAAATAAATGAAAAAAAAAAAAAACTGTCCCAATCGAGCATTTGAAAATAATGGTTTTCTGCTCTTGTAGGGTGGAATCTTATGAAATGTCAGTTAAGACAAGTTTTCTGATAGTGTTTTTAATCTTCTATATCCTTACAGGTTTTCGGTTTACATGTGTCAGTTATTGAGAGTAGACTGTTGAAATCTTCAATTATAATTTGTTTATTTCTCTCTCTCTGTCTCTCTTTTTTTCCCAGATCTGAAATTTTTCCTTCATATATTTTAAAGCTCTGTTTTAGGCACATAAAAGTTTAGGATTATAATGTTGTCTGGATTATTATGAAATAGCCTCTGTTAATAGCCTTTGTTAATATTCTTTGCTCTAAAATCTACTTTTATAATAAGAATATAGCTATTCCGACTTTCTTTTGCCTAGTGTTACAATGATATATATATATATATATATATATATATATATATATAATAGAAAACTAAATATGTGTATATACATACTAATATATGTAAATATATTTGTACATATATATTTAGCTTCTATTATATATGTTTAGTTTTCTGTTGCTGTGTAATAAATCACTACAAATGTACTAGATTAAAATAGCATATCTTATAAAAAGATGCTCAACACCACTAGTTATTAGAGAAATGCAAATCAAAACTACAGTAAGAGATCATCTTATGCTGGTCATAATGGCCATTGTCAAAAAGTTTACAAACATTAAGTGATGGAGAGGGTATGGAGAAAAACCCCTCTTACACCGTTGGTGGGAATGTGAATTGGTACAGGTACTAAAAAATGAAAAATAGGGCTATNGGAAGACAGAGGATGAGATGGTTGGATGGCATCACCGACTCAATGGACATGGGTTTGTGTGGACTGCAGGAGTTGGTGATGGACAGGAAGCCTGGCATGCTGCAGTTCATGGGATTGCAGAGTTGGACTCGACTGAGCGATTGAATTGAACTGAACTTTTTTGTGTGACTGTAATAGCTAGTCAATACTCAGATCCATTCATTCATTGGAAGTTGAAAAATGATGGCTTTCAGGCTTTCTTCAATTTTTTAGCTGGCATATTTATGTACAGAGAATATTTCCCTTATTTACCTTGATTATGTGGTACAGTTCAGTAGGATCATTAGAGTAAATGCTTGATTCCTTGCCTTTGTTAGTGATTTTTAAAATACTGAGTTGATTCTCTAGAATTCTTCAGTAGTGAGCATTTGGCTTTTCTCTTTTGTTTTTAGTGTGAATGTGAACATATGCCTTTAAATATATTTGATGTGTTTTACTCCATTGCAATTATTATCTTTTTTGATATTCAAATATTTTCTTCTCTGGCCAGTGGTAGTCTCTTTAAGTTGGCTCTTATGTCCTTTTCATATAGCTCTCTAGTCACTGATAGTTTTTTTCTGGTGTGACAGATATTCTATGTTCATCTTGTGCATTTCTTGCCTCAGACCTAGAATGAACTAGTAGAAGAAAGGAAATTAAATGATTTTAGCATATTCTTGTGAGGCAGAAATTTTAGCAATTGGAAGCAACTGTGGAAGTTAGTTAATATAGTCCACACATGGACTTCAGACTCGACTAGTGCCATAGAAAGTTATCATCAACTAAGCTTCCTATTTTAAACAGTAAGTATTTGCCTTGTGGTTTTGTAAGGTGATGTTTTTTCTTTTCTTTGTAGGATTTGCCAAGCAGTCGGAAGATGATCAGGTGAATGTAATGGGTTTTCACTTCTTAGGAGGGTCCCAAGTTACGCTTCTTGCTTCCAAAACCTCTCGTAAGTAAAGCCATGATATTATTGCTTTTGAAAACTTCTGTTAAGAACACTACATTACAGATCATTGCCACATCAAGGATTTCTATAAGGGTGATATTAGTTATTGAAAACTCAGGGCCATTATATTAGTTATGAAGATAGGGTCCTATTTTATTAGAGATATATAACTTTGGATTTGGGGATGAGGAGGGTTTGAGAGAGGAATTTAAAGACCTGAAAAATGTTTTTGAGATAGGTATATGGTAAACTAGATTTTAGGAGTTATTAGAAATTGGAGTTAATTTTTTTGTGTGTACATATTCTTATAGCCTCCTTTTGGACATTGGCAAAGATGAAAGTGAATAACTTGTTGAGATTAATCTCAATAGAATGAAAAGTACTAATTATATAGTCAAGTTTGAATTTCAGATAAATATTTGCTTTATTGATTTGTTTGCTTCATATGAGAATAATTGTTGAAACTACTCGAGGTACAGCTGATTTCTGGTGTATGTAGATAATGAAGCTACTAAGCTCACTGGGTTTTATTCCCTTTCTTGGAAATAAATTATTAGGAGAGGAAGTTTTAAATAAATTTTAGGTACAATAGGATATCAGGGGAAATGAATACATATATATATATTCATTCATTCATGTATATGCCCAGAATTCTACATAGAGAATGTCCTTGGAGATGAAAGGTGATAGATATGAAGAAAGTACAGTTTTCTGGGTTTGAGGCAGATGTTGGTGCTCCCTACTGCTCTGTAAGCTGTTCATCCCCAAAGGAGGAATGAAGTAATTTGTATCCAATATGTGTTTGACATTTTTTTTTATGAAAGGCACACAGTCTTTCATCTCAAAATCTGGATGGATAGAAAAACCCTACAAATGCAAGAACTCAGTATTTTTTTCTCTAACAGTCAGTCAAATGCTACAGTTATCATCTATAGTTGTCATTAGATAGTATTTTATGTGCATTTTAAAACCTGCTTGATAATCAGCTGGTCTTGAAGTGTGCTATGTGGTAATTTTAGTTCAATTTGGCATAGAACAGCCAGAGCAGACAAGCGAATGCAACTCGTTGTCTCAGGTATGCAGTCACATTCTCTGTGGAGCTGAATAGGTTTTTTACTTCAGAAAGTACAGTAAAGATTCAATGTAATTAGAGTTTATTATATGAGTTCTGAAAAAAACCTGCAAAGCTTTAAAGATAAAAATATTTAGGAAGAATACAGTAGCAAAACTGAAAATGATTTTCACAGACCTAAATTGAAAATAACACTGGTGATGGATATGTACATTACCTTGAAGATAGTAATAGCTTTACAGGTATATGAATGTGTCCAAATTCATCAAATTGTAAATATTAAACATGTGTGTTTTTTATATATCAATGATACTTCTAGTAAGTTGTTAAAAATAACAAATGGGTCACATTTTATGAGAAATATTTTTATAATCAGAATTAGAAAATATTTCCACATGGAAGTCAGTTATTTAGACTGATTCAGTACAGTGGCGTTTCAGAAGAAATATGCTGTTGTCTATAATTATGTATTCCTGCCATGCCGCTTTCTTAAGATCCAGATCCACATTGTTATTTACTACCTCACACAGCAAACACTACCACCTTCCTCTCTCTCTTCCTTCCTGTTTCTTCTGTCTCGATGCTTTTCTTGATCTTTCTTATATATCTGCTTTTATCTTTTCCTCTACTTGTACCTTTTTTTTTTTCTCTATTTGTTGTTTTTTTCTTCTATTTGTACCTTGCCTTGTTTCACTTGTTTCTTAAAGTGTTTAAAATATATGTTAAAATTACTGAAGATTGAAGAATAAGATTAACATACAATTGATAAGATACTAGCAGCTTAGAAATAAAAGGAAAGCATTTTAGTTCCAATTTTCAGAATACTCTGAAGATCAAATCAAATCAGTTGTTTAGGAGATGCACAGCCTGATACTGAGTCCAGGAAGAAATTTCTCTTCTGAATATCACAAAAATAGCTTCTTCAATAATGTCTCTATAGCTTATGTTTATACTTATAATTACTATACTTATGTAATTATACTTTGAATAACAAATTTCATAGAACTTTAAAAATAGTGATGAAACTCAGCTTACTAAATATAATTCTATAAGAGTCCAAAGCAGTGCAGTCTAAGCTGCAGCTTAGTCCAAGGGTAAATTTAGAGTATAGTACGTGTAGTAGCACTACACGTTTTTAGTAACTGGCATTTTGGGTAATAATTTGACAATTAAACTCAGTAATTCTGAAGTAAAATGTAGCTGAAAGGAGTTGTGCATTTTGTTTTTAAATAAGCAATATTAGAACATATTAGTATTCTTGCCTGGAGAATTCCATGGAAAGAGGAACCTGGTGGGCTACAGTCCACGGAGTCACAAAGAGTCGGACACCACTGAGTAACTAACACTTTCACTTTTCACTTTCAGAACATGTTTAAATATCAATTGAAATGAGTTAGTGGGAGAGGCTGACGATCAGGAAGCAGAAGGGCATCACAAAGCAATGAAGTCCTTTAGAAGGAGAGAGGGGATGGGATACAGAACTTGGAGGGTGAGGAGAGTTGAAAGTTTAGTGACAGGATATAGGTCTAGGGAGACTTTATAAATTTTGTTGATGAAAAGATAGGGGAGCTTTGCTGATCTTTAAATTTGAAAAAAAAAAATAGTGTGACACTGGTGTCTTGGAAAATAAGGAAGCAAACTCGTGAAATATAAGCAATGATGAGTTCCCATTAGAAGTCTGAGATTCTGAATTTTGAAGTGAATCCAGTCATCCTTAGATAATTTTGCCTAGCAGTGATTTGTTTTTTGTTGTCCAAACAACTAAAGCCAGGATTGGGATTTTGAAACAGAGAATTGCAGATAAAATATTTTTATGAGAATGATTGTAGTAATGAACTACCAAATCTAACCTGAGAGAAATAAAGAGAAAAGTGATACATAGTGAGAAATTAATAAGTTCAATAGATCACACGTCTTGATCACACGTCAAGAAGTAGTGGGAGTTATAGAGCAAGTAAACCAGAAGCACAAAAGCTGGTGGTTATAGAATGAGTGAGGTGTTGATGTCAGGAGTTCAGAGAGACTGCATATCCTGATGACAGGCTCATCAAACAAGGTGTGACATTGGGGGAGTGGGTTGTAAAGATGGAAAGAAAACCAATGGAGACAAAGATTTCCAGGAAATGAAATGTCTCAGTTGTGGATATTGGAGGAGCTTGTTCAATGTTAGCACAATGAATGAGAAAAAGAAATACGTATGAACATATTATTGTGAAATTTTAGAGCACTAAGGATCAGGGGCATATCTCCAAAGATTAGAAAGGAAAAAATAGTCACTCAAGGAAAATGAATCAAGAAGATATTTAACTTTTCAACAAAATTATTAGATACTAGTTTAGTTCAGTTCAGTCACTTGGTCATGTCTGACTCTTTGCGACCCCGTAGACTGCAGCACACCAGGCTTCCCTGTCCATCACCAACTCCTGGAGCTTGCTCAAACTCATGTTCATTGAGTCGGTGATGCTATCCAACCATCTCATCCTCTCTTGTCTCCTTCTCCTCCCACCTTCAATCTTTCCCAGCATCAGGGTCTTTTCCAAAGAGTCAGTTCTTTGCATCAGGTGGCCAAAGTATTGGAGTTTTAGCTTCAGCATCAGTCCTTCTGATGAATATTCAGGACTGATTTCCATTAAGATTGATTGGTTTGATTTCCTTGCAGTCCAAGGGACTCTCAAGAGTCTTCTCCAAAACAGCGGTTCAAAAGCATTAATTTTTCGGTGCTCAGCTTTCTTTATGGTCCAACTCTCACATCCATACATGACCACTGGAAAAACCGTAGCTTTGACTAGACGGACCTCTGTTGGCAAAGTAATGTCTCTGCTTTTTAATATGCTGTCTAGGTTGGTCATAGCTTTTCTTCCAAAGAACAAGTATCTTTTAATTTCATAGCTGTTGTCACAATCTGCAGTGATTTTAGAGCCTAAGAAAATAAAGTCTCTCACTTTTCCCATTGTTTCCCCATCTATTTGCCATGAAGTGATGGGACCAGATGCCATGATCTTAGTTTTCTGAATGTTGAGCTTTAAGCCAACTTTTTCACTCTCCTCTTTCACTCTCATCAAGAGGCTCTTTAGTTTCTCTTTGCTTTCTGCCACAAGGGTAGTGTCATCTGCGTATCTGAGGTTATTGATATTTATCCCGGCAATCTTGATTCTAGCCTTTGCTTCATCTAGCTTGGCTTTTCACATGATGTACTCTGCATATAAATTAAGTAAACAGGGTGACAATATACAGCCTTGATGTACTCCTTTCCCAATTTGAAACCTAGAGGACAATGGAAAAATTTTCCCTAAGATCTGAGAGAAATGATTTTCAACTTAGACTTCTGTACCCTGCTAAACTGGTAATTAGCAATGAATGCTGAGTAAATACATCTTCTTAGTGTCACAAGTAGCACTAAGCAATTGCAAATAGCAAATTTATGTTGCCTCTGGTAGGCCTTTGGAATATGGAAAGGATAACTAATAATGCTAAACATTTCAGTATCCTGGAAGAGTCTAGCATGCTAGAAAGAGTGATTGAATTGAATAAGGTCAAGTTTAAAAGTCCTTTGCTTTTCCATTTTGATTATTTTGCTTTCACATATAATGAAAGAATTGTAGTCGTGTATGTGAATAAGGGTTGAGCCTTGAAAAAGGCTTTCTTTTTGTATCTGTCAAAAGAAAGCATATGTGATGTTGAACTGTGTTAAAATATCTTCAGAAAAAAGAAAGTGAGAGTTTGCTCTGCTCCGTCTGGCTGGACTGTGCACCTTTGCTCATTTTTCACTTAGCAGATGTCTTTATATCTAATACATCTCATGACTCTTGTGGAGCTCCTGCACTAATTGGAGAAACAAACAGGTAATGTACTGATTATAGAACACTTGATGTGCTTATAGAAGCACACTTTGGCTGCTACTAGATTCCAAAAGAATGAGGTTCCATAAGAG